CCCCAGCCCACCCATACTGTTCTTGTAAAAGGACACTGGGTTGAAAATATTCCTGCCACTCCCTCATACACTGCTAATAATAGGAATTGTGCAAGCAAAAGCAAACAGAAAAATGGCAGAGCTAACAAGTTCCTGTACCTAAAGTGAAATCCGTTATGATGATATAGTTAAATCTGATAATGAGTCAACTAAGAAATTTGAATTTATAAGGAAGACTACTTGAAACGCGAATTTACATGATGATATATTGGCCCTTGAGATATTAACTAATACTAATATAAATATTCCATCGTAATAATCAAGACACATAAGTTCTACGAACTCATATAGAATGCCATCTATATTTTTTTCAGGGGTATTCCAAGCTATGTAATATTTAGTTGTGCATTCTTGTAAAATATTAATAAGTGTAAAAATGTTTAGAAATCTCTTCTGAGGCTTCTTTAATAGCAAGAGGCAAAATTTCAGTCAATATCATTGGAAAGAACAGCTCTTGTATTTGACATGGTTAAAGTGACTGAATCAGTACAGAGAAGATGGCAACACATACAAAAATGCATTCTGTTGAAAGACAACCAGAAAGCACTTTTGAAGATTTAAAGAAAAGGATTTGAACACCTGGCCTGTTGTAGAGGTTGGATATAGTTGCTAACTGTTTCACTTTTTTTTTTTTTTGCAGTGGTTTTGATTATATTCCTGAAGAAATACTTCAAACTTTCTGTGATCTATTTAAAAAAGACACATTCACAACCTTTGATGACTTCTTTGGTGAAACATGCTGTGGTGTTTATGCACAAGAGTATGACTGGTGGACTGGCTGCCCTGCCTGGCTGACGCATGAGACTCGTCCATCCAGGGCCAGGGATTTAGCTCAGAGGTTCCACCATCTGCCTCAAAAGCACAAGGTTGTAAGTTCAGTCCCTGGTACCCACCCCCCAAAACAAAAGAAACTCATCCATCCCATTGTCTATTTATAAGCTACAACAATAAGGTGAATGAAGCTCCAAGAGCACAAACAATCACAGGATCTCTCTCTCTCTCTCTCTCTCTCTCTCTCTCTCACTGATTTCATTGAAAACAGAACAAGAAATGGTCTGAGTCAAAAGATTGCTCTTAAAACCATCAAAAACATTTTAACAGAAAAAATAAACATGACCCCATTATGAATGTTTAAGAGTCACAGGAAAAAACCTCTACTGCCCCGCACTAATTATAACATATAGAAAGGTATATGCTGAAAAAGTACATGACTTGCCAGGCCACCACAGAAAAGGTGACAGCAAATTTATTCACACTACAAGACTAACATTTAAAAAAAGGATTTCCTGCATTTAATTCTAACATCACTTCGTTCTCTTTTTATAGTTGATGGTTTATTTTCTCATGGTGAGTAGAAACCACACCAGATTTAGCACCGTTGTCTGTGTTTTGTATTTTTCTTCTTTGTCCCAATGTTTGGTAATGGTAGAAAATAGATCAATTTATTCATCATCATAGCATGTTGCTTAAAAATCAACAGAAGGTGCCAGCGGAACCGGAACTGGTGGGGCTGGTGTGGGGTCCGCCTGCCCACCAACCCGGTCCTCACAAAGAAAGAGCAGCCAGGGTTTGATACAGAGAGGGTTTCCCTAAGAAGCAAGCCCACAGTTCCTCTGGAGTCAGGGCAGGGCCACCTCGATCGCTCTGGGCTGTGGACCTGTCCTGTGTGTGGCACCAAAGCCGCCCGGCTGCACAAGGAGCGCTGGGCTCCTGGAGCAGCACAATGGCAGCAGCTGCAGCAGGTGCCACACAAGAAGCGTCTGGTCGGGCAGGAGAGCAAACAAATGCGGAGGTGGGGCGAGAACCTCCAGGATCAGAGGAGGAAACGAAAAACATTGCAAGGGGAAGACCATCTTCGGAAGCCCACAAGGTCACACCCCGCGGAGTCCCAGTGCCTCTGAGGTGTGCGTGGTCCAGTGCGCTCTGGCCTGGGTGCTGGGCACGCATGAAGCCTCAGAACGGAACCGTCCTGGGAGGGGTCCGCACCCCAGTCCCTCTGGGACCCAGAGACACCCCAGGCAGAAAAGCTTGTCTCCATGGCAGTCTGTGGGGTCTGAGCCCAGCCCTCCCAGCCCCGCTGCACCTTGTAGTGGGTCGGAGGCAGCTGCGGAGCTGGTGTCCAGCAGGCCGCGCTCCTGGGCCTCCTGGACCGAGCTGGCCTGCCGCTACCACAGGATCTCAACGACATGGTTTACCTGAAAAAGAAAAACTAAAAAATACAGTGGGACCTTGCCTTAGTCACTTTCCTCCCTGAGACATAAAACCCCACACCCACAACTTAAGGTAGGAGAGGATAATTGTAGTTCACAGTTTCAGATGTTTCAGTTCATGGCTGGCAGGCTCAAAGACATGGTGGGAGGGCCTCCCTCAGAAGAAAGCTGCTCACTTCACCGCAGCCAGGAGGCAGAGAGAGAAGGGAGGACCCGCGGAATACACCCTTCCAGGTCTCATCTGCAATGAAATGACTCTTACCAGCAAGTCAGCTATGGCGGCTCCCATGATCCAGTTGCCTTTTCACATAAGGTCTTTTGGGGGACATTTTAGATCTAAATCATAAAAAGATCTTTATAATATAGTATTTTGTAATGAAATATGGACTTAGACTGAAAACTTTTTCTATACCTCAAAAGTTTACTGATTATCTCAGGGCAAAGATCTTGACAGTTACAGAATTTAAAAAAGACAAGGATCTAAACTTGCTGGTCTCTTTTTGTTGGCTGTGGCCCTCCTAAGTGTATCACCTAGTGTTCCCCTCCATGTCCTTTCAGGTAAAGATGATATTTTAACAATGAATTGAGAAAATTGCCATGCTTTAAGAGAATCATATTATAGGGAAAATACTTTGAAAAGTGCCATTTAGATTGTTTCCATTCATGTGGTTGTAATGCTCAAATGAAACGTGTCAAGTATCTCCTACACTATCATTGTCACAATCTGCAAAGTTTAGAAGCACACAAGCCCCTTTTACAATCTTCCGAAATGCATGATCACAAGGTTTAAACATTCTATTAAAAAAAAAAAAACATTTGCCAGGATAATTGATGAAAATTTTGCTGAAAATGTTGACCTCATGGACAAAGAAGAGTTTTCTTATGGAATGTCACACATGCAAGATTGGTAGATGGGATTTAAACAGTGAGAATTATGATTTAGTAAGTGCAGCCAAAGAGTTTTTCTATTTGAGTCTACTTACCTTTGTGGGATTTTAATTTTTTTGTACCGGCGTCAAACTCAGGACCTTATGCTTGCAAAGCAGGCGCGGCACCACTGAGCTAAATCCCCAGCCTCGCCTGTCATTTTTTTTTCCATTAAGTTTATTGGTACATTTTAGATCTACAATACAGTTACATTCATCATTAGGATCTTGTACCTTTACATGATGTTTCTTGGTTCTAATTTTTCCCCATTCCCCTGTCCTCTCTTCACCCCCTTCACCCTTCCCTATTTACAAAGACTTTGTTTCCATGTTTTTCCATTTCTCATATTTTTACTTTTCCCTTCTTTCCTTTGCCCTCCCCCTTCCCCTACTCCTTTAGACCTGGCCTATCCTTTTTGTTTGTTGGTTGTTCTTTTTTGAGACAGGGTCTCTTTATGTCTCTCAGGCTGGCCTTGAGCTCACTATGTAGCTCAGGCTGGTTTTGTACTATGAGTGCTGGGATTCCAGGTGTGTGCCACCTTACCCAGCTCCATTATTTATAAATAAAAATCAGGTCATGAGGTAGAAGGAATGTGAAAGCTGTTGGTATACTGAGGACATATAGTGGTGCTGACTGAGTACTTTCTTTCCCCAGTTGGTGACATCTTGTGGGCCGGAGAGTGGGTATGTGGTGGCATCCTTCAGGAAGACTGAAGACACAGGGCAGGTTCTGGCTGCCTCTGGGAGGCAGTTAGGAGTTTGGGCCTTGCTATTTTTCTATAGGCCTAGGAACCTCTAGTGAAGCTGTTCCTTCCCCAGGAAGTTATTTAGGACCTGCAGCTCTGGAGAACCATGGGCTGAAAATGAGGTTCCAGAGTCATTAAGAGGGTGGAGGCAGTTACAGAGATCCCAGAGTGGGCCAGTAGAGTCAGGAGTTAGCTAGGAAGCTGGCACAGTAGGATCCCAGGGAAAACCACAGGGACAAAGCCAGGTCTTGGAGGCTGAGAAGCCATAGGCACCCAGGTTATCAGTAGAGGGACGGGAGGGAAAGAGACAGAGAGAGGCACAGGGTGTGCCAACTTTGGAAACCGGGTACTCCAGGCGCTCCAGGCTGGAAGGCGTGGTCAGCGGGGAAGCTGGGAGCTGGTAGATACGAGGCACCACTGCTTTTGGCAACCGGGAGGTCATTCCGGACTTCGAGGGGCGGGCACAGGAGCCAGGCAGCGGAGGGCAGGAGAGCGAGTGTGTGTGTTGGGAGGGCCGGGAAGGTGATCTCAGTGACGAGATAGACACCTGGGAGGAAACGGAGGCTGCAGGTCGGTGCCGCTACCGGGAG